TTTACAACAGTTAAAAGGGGTAAAAAAATTGTAAAAAGGTAATAAGAAAGGGGTGCATTTTTTAAAAAAAGGGGATAGGAAAGGGGGGCTTTTTTTGTGAAAAATTGTAATTGAAAAGGGTAGGGGTTTGACCCCCGAGGAGGACCCCCCCGTTTAAAAATTTTTTTAGTGCCCCCCCCCCCCCCCCCCCCGCTTCGGGCTTGGAGAACTAGTCAAACAACGTCATTCCCGAGTTTCCACTAACCGCACTTTCAAAATAAGGTGAAGCGCAAAACCTTAAAAATGGAAATGATTCTCATTAGAATCAGTAATAAATAAGAATTATTTTTATAACTGTGACTTCACAGATTGCCTTTTTTGATGGCTTTTGATGGTGAGGAGATACGTATTCAATTGTGAAAAAATTCAAAGAGCCTGTATGGGAGCGTTTGCTGTATAGCTAGCATCGTAGTACTTTCCACTATACAAATCCTTCAAAATGAGGAGCCATTCAGACCTTAATATATAAAGATAATCAGTCTTGAATGTAAGCCTACGTAGCAGGCGGTACTGTGTACTAGTCGAGTGCGATTTGGCGGCAATCCGACACAATACAGCCAGCTATGCAAACTATCTTGAATATCAGAAGACTCAAGCTTGGCCTAGTCTCCTTCGCAGCCGTTATTAGGGTCGTCACTCGTCACGCAACGCTCCTCCCCACTAGTTAGTGGGGAGGAGCGTTGCGTGACGAGTGACGACCCTAATAACGGCTGCGAAGGAGACTAAGCTTGGCCATGCTATTAGTCTAACCATGTGATTTGTAGGGAAATTACGCCACATGACTCCAGCTCCAAAGGGCAAGAAATGTTCGAGCCTTAGCTTCTCAAAAATAGCTTTTTTATTTATATATTCATATTTATATTTGAGAAGAGTAAACAATTATTTAATTACGTTATCATGTAAATGTATAGGATTTCATATTATTCAATATAAACACTGAAGTCTACCTATGTTTAGCTCATTTATGACCACCACTAAGAAACCTTTACATGAATGTAAACTTCATTGCATTGAAATGGAGAGTTCCTTTGCGTATAATACAAGTTTCCAATAAAACCCTTTAAGGCCTAATTTTGACCGGCATATAATTTCTCCTTAGAAAATTACTCTTTAATCAAACACAAAGGTCACGAGAATAACGAAAATGATGAAAAAAGGTCAAATATCTTGATTGTGAATCAAATTCTCCTCAACAGCACTATAGCAAATGTATGCAGAGCAATAAGCAGAATTGGACATTTTGAGGTTGCGTGGGAGACTGGGTCGGTGTTGAATCGAATTGCACTATGGGACTGTTTTGGGGGCGAGTTGTGAACCAGCTTCCCGCCCAACCTCGTTATAGCCAATAAAAAGCTCTTGATTTCCTTAAAACAGTGCCATAACCAACCCAGACACAAAATGGCCAACATGGTGTTGCAAAGGATTAGGGCATCATAGTTTATTATGGAAAACACTGAAAAAATTCGTTTTCTTTCCTCTTATAGTTTTCAGTGACTACTCCAGCAGCGACAAGTCAACTAAAGGAGAAGTGTCACAAAACTTTTCATAATTCAGACGGTGGGAACTGGGCATCTGCTGATCGAGCACGAAAATAACCGTCCCTTAACAATCGAAGAGAGGGAGAGGGAGAGGGTCCTTTATCGCAAGTCGGACATATCGTGATTTCATCGTAAAAAAGGACGGTGCAAGAAAGAAAATACGCGATAACGCGGTTTATTGTTATCATAGTGTGGTAAAACAACACTCTGAGTATCAACTTTGGCCAATCATCAAAAGAGATGGCAATCAAGTGAGCCAATCAGATATTGAAGCAAATACATCTAGCGGCCGGTGCCAGCAAGCGCGGGAAAACATTCATGACTCAGGATTGGTTTTACTCAATGGATGATAAAGTGCAGCGATAAAAAGGGCAAAATAATCATGCAGATTTCTTTTGAAAATCAACTGAAAAGATCTCAAACAAAAACGTAGAAGAAAGAAGTGTTCATAGCAGAGCTGCCAAGCCCTCTCCAAGCGGAGATTACTTTCATCAATTTGTACGATAAAGGTTTTTGTTCGCCTCTCCCAATGACTAATCCCTCGGGTCACAAAGTTAACTGTTCCGTAGGGACAAGTTCTCTGGTCCCAGAGGTTCTCTTGAAATTTTTTCTCAGCGTGAGAGAGAGCGAGCCGAGACTCGTTTTCGCCGCTTCACGGCTCGCTTTCGCGCGGAGAAAATTTTCAAGAAAAAACCTCTGGGACCAGGGAACAGCACTATTCACCAAGTGATTCATATTTCACGGGTGGTGATCGTTGAGGGGCTTCAATTTTTTTATATGCCAAAGCAAAGGCTCGAACTTAGTCCACTTCCAAGCATCGATCTAAATAATTTTCATTGTTAGCCCTTGTCTCATAAGCATACACAAGACACCAAACGCTATTGGCACAAAGAGGACGCCGTTAAGTCCTAAACTCAACGCTGTCACGAATTGGGAAGGTTCCCCGCCCCCCCCCCCCCCCTCCCCCCCACCTGAAGCTGACCTGCCAGAAAGGAATAATTGAAATTCAAAACCACACAAAGACTTCGTCAACTCAGCCTTCAGTGAGAGATTTGGGAGCTTAAGCATCTACGACGGTAATGGCAGCGAAAACGTCACACACGTGAATTCGCGCTGATTCAAACTTCTTCGCTTTTATTCCATCTCGTGCAAGGAAGTTTTGCATTGTAGTCGTGCAGTGACGGCAAGGAAATCTACAATAGAGCGTGATGAACGTGGTAAAGTTGTTGTTTTCCTAATGAAACGTATTGCTTTTTTGCCGTTCTCGTTGCCGTCGCGGTCGTTATTTCTAAAGCTCCCTACTGTTGAGAAAGTTGCTGCTCGTTATCAGTGTTCCTCATAATTTATCATCACTTGAGTGTAAGAGTCGTGTTTGAGATTAAATATTTGTTAAATCAACATTAAGCCTGCTAAGAAAAAAGTCTACTTAACCGTTTTGGCCAAAGTCATAATTCAACAAAAAATAAGCTCTTCTCCACTGAGCGTGAGTTGAGAAAGGTCTTTCGTTTGTCCATCTTGCTTTATATAACTTACAATTCTGGATACCAAAAGATAGTATTTTTTTTTCCTACACAACTTAAAAACCTACATTTTTTATCTTTTATCAGAATTTATCAAAAATAAGGTATATATTTCTGTCTTTTATAACTCTCTTATAAAAGAGAAACTTCTGCGTGAAATGCATTTCGGACAAGGATGGCCTAAAATGCCTCTCTACAAAATCTTCTGCAACCTTAACGCAGGTGATCATACAAAGATAATGTTTAGGATAAGATCGACTATGTTTAGGATAAGATCGAAATCACTCATCAGCACGTTACAGTATGTTGCCCAGTATCCGGACACTTCAGTTTAACATTGCAATAACTTTCCTTTGTTGATCGCAAGAGCTCAGAAATTTGGCCCAGACAAAATCTATTTAGTCCTTAATATGACAAAAGACAGTTTAACTTTTTTGCCTCTGGTTCCATCGCGAAATTAATATTTTTGCAGAGCTCCTATGTTGCCCAGTATCCGGACAACTGGCCCAGTATCCGGACACAACAATGACAACCTAATTGCACATAAATTTCGACAGGAAAACGACTTATAAGCTTCTCTTGCACTTGCTAAGTAGTCTCGCAATCCATTCCAAAAATATAACCTAGCATCGTGAAATAAAAGATAAAAAATGACTGAGGTATGGTGGGGTACGCGGGCGGCTGTTAAATGGCATAATTCTTACTTCCTTGTCTAGGAACTTTTTCACTGATTTAAGGAAGGCATCCGTGGACATGCCGAAGCCGCGGTTTGCTAGCTCAATTACCCAATCTGCAAACGAATTTTTTTCTTCATTTTTTATTAAAAAAAAAAGCTTGGCGAAGGGACCTCAATGCGACGGTCAAAGGTCACTCTCCTATTTAGTCTGACCTGCAGTGTTGATTTCTTCATGCTCAGTCCCTACAGACCCTACAATAACCCTGCTTTTCTAGCACTAATTCGTCCTTCTTTCACATCTCTCTCAAGCCCTTTGTGACATTTTTCAGACCGTTGCAACCCCATTCTAGCAGTCACAACTGGGGAAAGTATGAGACTTCCAGGTTCAACTCCGACGCTTTCGGTTATATATAGAAAATGCAGTCACGCGAAACAAGAGACGCACACGAAATCAAGTCGCCTCGGAATGAGTGAAGAAAATTTCCGTACGGAGTTGAATAGAATTCCATTTTACGACTATATCATATATCCTAAGCTTTAATTATAGTTATAGATATGAAATAAGTCTTATCCGGATAATGTACATGGGTAATTCATCGATTCTGTACAGCAAAGAAAAAAGTGTCCGGATACTGGGCACCTGACATCAATACTTAGTGAATGTTTCTGGGCTCCGTTATTCCAAACAAATCGAATTTTAAGAAGAATTAATAAACTTTCTGAGAACCGGACTTCTTTAAGTATCTTCACGTTAAATATAAAACCGTTTCTTTGAAAATATGACATATTACCAACCCTTTTGTGAGCAGCACTAATTTTACTGCGCAGTAAACCGCGTAAATATTAGCCGTGAAATGTTTATTCACCTGAACAGAACGGCGTCTTCTGCGACTGTTTCGCAAGCTTTCAACTCGCCAAAACCTTCATCTTAAAGCCGAAATGTTCAGCTTTCATTCGAAATACTTCGTTTACCGATAACTGAAAAGGGCGCCTCAAAAATTGAGTTTTTGTTTTAAGTGTCCGGATACTGGTACCGTCCGGATACTGGGCAACATACTGTACTGGGTTTTGCCATAAAGAGATGTTGCGCTAAAACTCGGTGCTTAAACGGGAAATTGCAACGATGACAGTGGTCAGACAAAAACTCACTAATAAAGTGAAATCGAATCGTCTTATGGAGACAGTGGAGGACGTGAATAAGGGATCACGAGTTTTCTTTTCTCTCTTTGAACTTTTTTGCGACCTCGCCATGAACATTCGCCTTCTTTTAGCTTATAAATGAGGTCTAAAAAGGTTTTTTGGATCACATTTATAAGCCAAAAAAAGGCGAATTCTTCTGGAGAGGTTGCAAAGATCTTCAAAGAGAGAAAATAAAAGTCGTGATCCGTTTTCACGTCCTCATAGTCTCCCTAAACATCGCATTAAGCCTGATTTCAAAACAATATCCGGATCGTTTCCATCGCTTGAGTCGCCTAAGAATGGGTTCACTCGAGGCGATCATACGGAAAGACCTTTGATGCGATGCAGGACGATTCGGAAGACTGATGGGATCGAACATTAATAAAACAAATAGACGGCTTTCAATATAATCGTCCTCCAAAATCGACGCGATCGAGACGATCCGGACAAGTAGTGGCCATTTTAAGATTGCACGAGAAACTGGGTCTGTGTTGTGTCAAACTGGATTATTCTGACCCAGCACCCTTTAAAAGCCGATACAAGAAGCGAAAGACTTCATTGTTTCCAAAGCTCTCCCCGTCATCTTAAACACTTACTGGTGTTACCCCAAGTAATGGAAACACGATAGTGTTTCCAATTTTGCAAAAGGAAAACCAACCGGTGATATTACTGTTTGGTGAACTGTGTTTTCCCCAGAGAAAATAACACCTTACTATTGCATTTCAAAGAATGTCAAAGGTGAGTGTCTAATTTGTCCTTACCCTCCTGTTGCTCCTCGGCAGCAATGTTTTTTTCTTGTTCTTGTTTTTCACCCACAGAGTCCTGTCCTTGTATATTCTCAGAATCTGTGGGAGGAAGACTCTCAGATGGACTTTGTTGTGTTTCGGTCAGTGTTTCGTTGTCCTTGTCTTGTTGTTTCTCTGCTGATTGTTGATCGTCATCGGCTGATTTATGCACCTCTTCAATTTCCTTCTCTCCTTCTTCTGCAGACTGTTTCTCGCTCACATTTTCACTACTTTCGTCCTTGGAAGTACTCTCCACTTCGTTTGCTTTATCCAGTGTTTCCTCTTCCTCCTGAACACTTCCGTCTTGTTGAGACTTACTACCCTCTACCCCCACGTTTTCTTGCTTTTGCCCCTCGTCCTCCCCTCCCTCAGCAATACTTTCAATCTCTCCCAGTTTCTCGATATTCTCTTGAGGAAATAGTTCGTCCAGCAATTCGGAATTGCGCAATTTCCACTCATAAATTGACCTTCTGTTGATTTGTGGCTGGCTAAGAAGCTCTTCAAGGTCAGAAAGATGCTTCTCTTTATCCTACAAACGCAAGAAGATAGTTGTTGTTGGTAGTCGAGAATGCGAGGTTACACTGATACCACCATTAACGTGCGACTTCGCCCACCTCCCCGCTGTATCGTGGTCAAAATTCTTCACAAGCATTTGCCTTTTTTATGGGGGGGGGGGGGGGGGTTTTTTTTTTTTTTTTTAAAAANCCAGCTCTTTTTGAGGGGAGTGGGGGCCTGAACTAGCCTGAGTAGCAAGTTTTTCTGTGCGGTTTAGGAGAAAAGAACGAGGAACGAGAGTCAAAGACCGCGAGAAAAGTGGCGCAAGTAAAAGAGCGGGGAGGGGGTGGGGAAGAAAGGAAGGAAACGCTTGCAGACAAACCCCGGGATTTTGAAAAACACCCACCTGACCTGTCATGCCTGAGTTCGCGCACCGACATAATAAAAATAATACGCGTATCAGGTACCATACATGACCTCTCAGTATGAAACAAACCTTTGATCGACACATGTCAATATTGTTTGACTTGCTGAGCCAATCAGGCGCTGCGTTCGCTGGCGACCGCAGGTTTTCAAAATCGAGGGGTTTGTCTGCAAGCGTTTTCTTCCTTCCCCTCCCCCTCCCCCTCCCCCTCTTTTACTTTTTGGCTCTCGTTTCATTTCTCGCGCGGTCAAAACCGCAAGTCCCCTTCCTCGGTATTTCTTTGCTCTGAAACCAAACGGAAACGCTTGCTACGCAGGCTAGGCCTGAACTGGATGTGAGGCTTCATTGCGGTTAAATGTCCAGAGCAGCATTTTAAATTCTATTTAGTGGTATTTCGATAATCACTATATAGAAAAGTGAACCCGAGGGGTTATACACCAGTTGGTAAGACTTATTTCATACTAGTGCACAGTAATGTCTTATGTTGTATTTGCGGAAGTTGCGCTTGCAAAATCCACGAAGTACGTTAAGGGATAAATTTCGTTACGTTCTGAAAACGTCTATTAGCTTTGATACTGCTTTTTTTTTTTTGCCATTTACACACACATTTATTTTGAAAATTTCCAGTAGTTTCGGAGTTAAATGTACATGGAGGGCCATACCGAAAAAGGAAAGAACGCTGACACACATTTTACAACCTTTAAAGAAAGTGCGGAAAGCGCCAGAGTGAAGATGGTTACCCGCCGTTTCGAGACAAGTCATTGAGAGAAAAGTCGTTTCGAGACAAGTTGATTCAGTCGAAGGGAGGAATATTCACCCCGAGTGTTTTTCTTTTTCACGCGTAAACAATACTTGGAGTGATCGAAATTGTTGTGCAGTCTCACTGCCTGAGTTCGTATCGAAGAGACTTGTGTCGAAACAACTTGTATCGAAACGATCTGTTTCCATGAAGATCCTTTTCGTAAAACTCACCTTCAGAGTTCTTTCCAATGTTCTAAGTCGAAGGAGTGTCTTATCATCCTCTTTTGCATTGGAAAACGCCCGCAGTCTTTCTGCACCATCCACCACTGGCTCACCATATATGGACAGGCGCGCTTTCCTAATATTTCGGCACATCACCATAAACTGATCCTCTTCGGGCAACGACGAAATCGATTCCCGGCCGCTGTTAGTCGACTTAATTGAGCTTCTGTCAGAGGACTTTCGGCGCTTGGGAGACTTTTCTTCGTCGGTCTCAGGTGCCACTGACCAAGCCTGCTTTCTGTCTAAAGAGAAGTACCATTTAGTTTTAGATGGGGACAGTGGTGGGGTTACCGATGGCTCGCTCTCCAACTGTTCGGCAGAACTAGCTTCTGATGGCGTTACCTCCTCCATGATTTCTGGTTCTGAGGTCTGCTGGGAAGACTGCTCTACTTTCTCAGATGTAGACACTGCGGTCGAGGTCTTGACTGTTTCGGAGATTTTAATGGAGGATTTAACAGTTTCTACAACCGTAACTGTGCTTTTCGTCGTTGTGACGCTCACAGCTCCATCCGCTCTATCCACAGCAGATTCGGCCTCTGTCGACAATTCCTGCTTTTCTGTCTTTTCTGCCACTTCTGCAGAGATCTTGGAGCTTTCTTCAGTTCCTCTGTCTTTTTCTGGGACTGCATCACCAGAGCTTGGTAACATTGGCGTTTCCACGTCACATGAGGATGCCTCAACAGAAGATGTTGTCTCAACAATCACCCTTTCGCTTCCCACAAACACCTTATCTACCATCACGGAGACTGTGTGTTTAGTGGTTTTAAACTCTTCGCTTGCAGGTTTCTCTTCTTGACTGTCCTCTGTGGATTCTGAGAGAGAAGGGGCGACGACTAGTACTGTTTGCTCTTTGATTGGCACTTGGGTCGATTCTCCAGGTGCAGGTGGTGCATCACTAGATTGTGTTTCTTGGTCGTCAATGGATGTCGGGGTTGTGTCTGGAGCGTCACTAAGTGTTAAATCTGTGTCACTAGGTGCCAAGGGTGCGTCACTGGGTGTTGGAGCTGTGTCGCTAGGTGCCAGGGGTTCATCGCTAGGTGCTGTGGATGCATCGCTATCAGGTGCCAAGGGTGTATTACCAGGTGCTGTGGGTGAATCGCTATTAGGTGCCAAGGTTGTATCATTGGTTTTCGGAGGTGCGTCACTAGGTGCCAGGGGTTCGTCGCTGGGTGCTGTGGGTGCATCGATATTAGGAGAAACGGGTGCATCAGAAGGTGCTGTGAGTGCATCGCTAGGTGCCTCACTAGGTGTCGATGGTTTGTCGGCACTAAGGGTTGTGATAGCACCGCTAGGTTCATCCTTAGGTTGTTCTTCGAAAGATTCTGGGACTGTGACATTAGGGACAACAGTTTCTTTACCTTTCTCCTCTGTTTCCTTGAGTATCTCCTTGCTGAAGGAACCAGGCATGGACCTCCGACGGGTGGTCTTGAAATCTTCTACGTCTTCCAAAAAGTCGTGACGTCCTCCAACAGCTAACAGAATAAAATAACACGCACGCATATTCACGTAAAGTTGAAGTAGTGAGTTGTGGTTCAGATCCTCTTTCCAGTCTCGGAAGAATCATGAAGAAGGTGGAAATTCTAATCTGTTCAGAGCAGGGGTTTCGGGCTACATGGGGGGCGGGGCAGATGGGGGCTTACGTCTATATGATTTCTACGGTGGTTCGAAAAAAGAGAGAAAAAGGGTCGAAAAATTCACATATTCAATAACCTACGGTATAAAAATGAGCCACTCCTTCTAACTTATGAGAATCTCTTCGGTAAGGACAGTGCAACTCGGTAACTTTAGCAACGAAGACGGAAAATAGGAGAAGAACGTCAAAAAAGCAAAACAAACACTTGCACGTGCAGCACACCTTTTGGTACATTTCTTTGCCGTCCCCGCTCGACCACCACGTGAAATTTCCTTACGCGACGTTCTTTGGAGCACGTAAACACTACGTCGAATTTTTCTGCCACTTTCTGAACTTTCGTGCGGTTCCCAAGAATTCAACTCCAAGGAAAATTCACGTACCGTTGACATTTAAAGCAACAAAAATTGAAAAAAAAAAACGTAGATTTATTTTGAAAGTAACGTTGTGGCTGCCGTCGCCGTCCTCGTTGCTAAAGCTCTCTATTAAACAGGAACAAAGGAAAACCGCGAACACTAACCAAGAACAGAACTGTGGCGCTGAGCTGAATTACTTCCTGATTTCCTTCGCATGACTACTTCATCCTTGACTGACAGCTGGTTCTGTTTGGACATCTTCTGAATGATTTCACCTTTGGACGCGGCTGCTAACACTCTTAGCCAATTGTCCATCTCCTCCTTACTGTCCGCCATAAACAAGTAGATCTGAGGTTTAGTTCCCGGCTGTTCACACTTAAAACAGCTGGTAAAGAAAGAAAACACACCTTTAATTTAAGGAAGTGAATCGGTTTCAAAATTAGGTGATCATTTAGTTCAGCAACAGCGACAATTTTCTATGGTCTGTACTCTTATCGACCATACAAACTTCTGTAATTTGAATTCCCCCCAAAAAACTTTGCTTGGCTATCGGGGCAAGAGAGAACGGAATTCACTAGCCCGATCGCAAAATCTTTTCTGAGCCCCGGACTATTGGACACGACTTTCTTTGCACACTTACATGACGTCACTCTAGAACGCTGTGCTAGAAAAAGGCAAGAGTATGCTTTTATTTGTTCTTTCCCTCTCTCAGCAGTGCGCACTGCCGAGAAGGAGAAGGTATTCGAAGGAAACACCCAGAAAAGCCAACTTAAGTCGGGGATAGGGATAATTTATATACTACATCTAGCGTAACAATTTTCTGATTGTAGTTATGTCGCTGACTGTATCACCTACTCTCTTACTGAAGCATGTCTATGTTGCATAGCTTGATGGCGCGAACTGAAGCGACAAGAAAAACTGTTTAATTTCAGTGTACAGATTTGTTTCCCCTTCAGTAACTATTACTAAAATGAAGATCGCTAATAACAGGACATAACCACCGAAACTACGAATAGTAACAGTCGGTAATCAGACCGTAATTTCCGACCAAATTTGCCCCATGTTGGACCGAACTCTTAACCAGCGGTAGGATATGACAAGCGCAGGGATAAAAACCCAAAGACTATCATTTTGAAGCTGGCGATCTGTGTAGTATTTGAAGATATTAAGAGAGAAAATAATGTACGTCGGTCCTACAACTTTCTAGTTTGTCCGACTAAACTGGTTACCGGGTCCTTTGCAAAGACATTATTATTTGCTGCCCTGTAGTATTCTTGATGTTTTAAGGGGGCATTTCTGGTCCCATAATTTTAACCCCTCACCAATTTTCGTTCATGAAACACATCCGAAAAATCAACGAAAAATTCCCGCATGTTCATTGACCCCACCTCTACGACCTTATTGAGCCATTTTTGACTGAATGAAATACTGGCTATAGATTTGGAAACAAAAAAGGCAGGAAGGCAGGAATACACGAAAAACAAGGCTTTTCGCCCACCTCCCCCCCCCTCCCTCCCTCTCCGCGCCCCATAAATATGGCGCTCATTGGTAAGGACTTACAAGTTCTTTTTGGTTTCAGGAGCTTCTGCAACCGTGACGTCCCTCATCTTAATAATCCCACCGGCCTCAGGGTCAAAGGCAGTTTTAAAGTAATAAAGCTTGCCATCCTTCAGTACCACCCACTTTCGCTTCCAGCTTGATAAAAACAGCATTCCACCTGTAAAAAGGATCACAGAACATGTCGCAAGTCAGAAATGGGCTCGAATCCTCTTGGAAGAACTCCGATCTTTTATTGTATTTCTCCGAGTCGCCTGTGTCTTCCAGATTTTAAATACCTTAGTCACCTTTTTGCGGGCGACAAGAGGAGCCCGTAATCCTAATCTCCAGGTTGCACGGCGTTCGTTCGGACTTCCACTGAGAATGCATGGAATACACTGAACGCAATCTGATTACACGCCTTTGGACCTTCTATCACTCGTAATCTGATCATTGTCACAGTTTGATATTCGATCACGTGAAACCTAAGCAGAACAATTTTGCTGGAAAAAAAGCGTTTTGAGCTTCGACCGTTGTCGTTGTAAGCTTTTTTCTAAATTAACGGAGGGGGCCAAGGTTAGCGCTCGGCGATACATCAGCTTTTGAATCTCTCTTTGACAACAAGTATACCCCATTAATGCATCATCAAGAGGAACGGCCATGAGAAGTAAAATAATGATCACCAAAGAGAAAATGCCTTAATTTTATCAAATTCTCTCACATAATTATGTCATGAAATGTACGCTTATTGCATCGACCTTTGCGCTGGTCAACGCAGATCGTTTTCCTTCGTCATTGACAAAACTGTACAGATTGTCTAAATCATGAGCGGTCATACCACAGTGTTATGACTGATGAGGTTGCTACTCATTAGGAAGAAAAGATTCTGAGTTTCCTGAGTCCGCCTTTGAAACAACATTGATCATGTATTTTACACTTTTTTCCGCTTCTCTTGCAGACTTTAAAATATTTTCCCCTTATTTTCGACGTTTCGACGTTTCGTTGTTGTTTTTGCAGAATGTACTTTCAGATGTAGATTTCTTGCAGGATCAAATGCATCAAAATCGATCACCTAACGAGTTTTCTTTCCAGACAAAACGTATGCTTTTAACATCTTCACTAAATCTGTTGGCGCTCTGAACAAAAAAACTCCTCACTACTGCAAGAAATGAGATTTTCCCTGTCTTTTTTTTCCCAATCCCTCGACTTTTCGATGACCGCAGTAACCCTAATTAAAGAAATAGAGGAACCAGCATGGTGACTTTCCCACCGCAAGTTCTCGTACCTTTCTTAGAGAGCCATCCCTCATGATCAGCCTCACCCAGAGATCGGCAGGATACTCGAAGATCAGGTTTACCTTTAGGACTAGCTGGTTCAGAAACTTGTTCAGGTGTACCAATCACCTCAACCTCTTTACCACCTACAAAACAAAACACAGTAATCTTTAAAGGAGCCGAGTCGCGGAAATTAGCCAAATTTAGTCATCACAAAAATGGCCACTAAATAGAATGACATACAAGGGTAACCGCTTTGCCCATAGACTACGAGTAGTCCTCATTTTTCCTCAGGGTTAGTAAAGCGAGCGAAACGCGAGCGCGTGTGAAAATCATCCCATGCAAGAAAGGCGAAACGCGTCTCGCCTTTCTCGAGTGGGATGACATGATTTTCACGCGCGCTTGCGTTTCGCTCGATCTACTATCTCTGAGTAAAAATGGGGACTACTCGTAGTCTACTTTGCCCAGTGATGGAACATTTAAAAACGAGAGCGCTCATTTGTTTGCTTGTTTGCTTTTTTTTACTTCGAGGGTTATAGCCTTAGAAGACAGCCGACATTTCGCGAAGACACCACCTGTTTCTCCCCACGAAATGACGTCTGAGGAACGAGCGTAGAAATTCCTTACAGATGACGCGTCACTACCCAGATCTGGGTAGTGACGTGTCACCAGTAAGGAATTTCTACGAAGATCAACGATCAACGAGCCCTAGTTAACAAACCAAGATAAATACTATCCTTCATTACATTAATTTTTATTGTTAATAATTGAGCAAATATCAAAGAAGGCCAAGATGGACAACGTTGAAGAAGACTAGAGCGGATAGCAGACTTTTTTAAAACTGACGTTCACTTGTCAGATTTTCAAAGTTCACCTCTGCGGTTTGTAACTTTGAATGTATACGCTTGGAAAACAAATATTTGAAGATAAATATTGCTAAATAATTTTAATTATTATTCTCTTCTTAAAAGAAGAGAAATGAAATAAAATAAACGGGACCAAAATATCATTAAGTAGTTCAATTTCAATGGTTGCATCTGCAGGACCTTACACACATCGGACTGTATTACATAGCTGCCTACATAATTGTCTCCGAGATTGCAAGGGTTTAAAGACTATCTGATGCTGAAATCAGCAAAAATACTTGCCTTCACCATCCTTCTCAGCATAGCTTATCCTCATCTGCATACGTCGTGTCTTGGGACTGTATGAAGCACTCACTTCTTTTCTTAAGACAACAGATTGCTTTGAAATTTCATCTTTAGCTTCTTCTGATTCTGGCGAGGACACTTTCTCCGCTGAAATGATAATGGACACCTTGATAAACTACCCAGAGCTCACTTTCGCTTTTAACGTCAAAGATAATATCATTGTTGATAAACTACTCCTTAATTCTGGCACGAAATTTCGAAATTTCAGCGTTAAATTATAATTTGACTTTTGAAATTACAAAATTGCTATAACAACGTTCCAGGTTTATAGTGCTACGAATGAAGATGTCAGGGCTTGAAAAGACTCTGTAAATAACCTAAACAGAGGAAAGCGCACAATTTTCTAACGAACATTTTGTCGACAAATTTAGAAAATTAGGAACTTTAAAAGTATGCTTTCAACTTTTCGGTGAATGGAGTTCACGATAAAATCAGCAAACAAAGGATAACCTTCGAGGGTAATTTGGCACCCATGGTATTAACACGCGCTTTGACCAAATTCTAATTATATCCCGAGACTTTAGAAATTTGACAAATCTTACTTGAAAGACTTTCCTAATTTTACTCGTCATCATTTGTTACGATTACACAGGCGTATTGTAGAATTTGACACTATTACTGTACAAAGTCTATGGGGTCAGTTACGAACGGAGCTAAATTAGCCTCCCATGCAGACTTTCTTCGTGCTTCGTCTAGAACGTCTGCGTGGGAAGGCCACAGCTAAATGTACATTATAAATTGAGTGCAGACTTGACGTTACCTTGGCAGTACTTGTAATGGAAAGCCAACCTACCTCCCTTCTCTTTGTCCTTATCTTCTGGTTTGGATTCAGTGTCTTTTCCTTTATCCTCAGCAACTATCACACTTTCTGGAGCTTCCGCGGCACTGACTTCAGTTTTTGATTCAGCATACTTTTCCCCTACAGAATCTATCTGAGTTACTGCTCCCTCTGCACCATTATGTTTGTCTTCAACATTTGTTGTTTTTATCTCTGAAGTTGCATCAGCTTCTTCAGATATTCCCTCCTCTAACTTGTCCGTTGCTGTTGTCTCTGCTTCTTTTCCATACACTTTTTCCTTATCAGTTAATTCTTCTTCAACAGTTTCCAAAGTTTGACCAACAGCTTGGCTAGTCACACTCTCAGTCACTTCTAACTTTGGAGATGTGGCGTCTTCCTGCCCTTTCTCAGCACCAGCATCTGCTACGTTACTTTCTACTGCAGGCGGTGCATCCTGCTGTTCTTGGACTTTGTCACCTTCTGCCTTTTCCGCAGAAGCACTCGCTGACCCAAGGTCCTTAGTTTTCTTGCTCTTTCGTCGCGCAAAGAAGCCACCAAAAATACCAGAAGTTTTCTTTTTCTTAGGTGACGGCTGAGAGTTTGCTTCTTCCTCTGAGGGCTCTGTGTGAGCACGTTTAACAGCCTCCTTATCAGAGTCTTTGTTCTCCACCTCTTCCTCCTTTGGTCCTTCAACATTTTCTTTGCCCTTCTCTAATGGGGCGCTTTCTATTGACACTGGTTCTTCTTTAGCCTCTTGTGTTTCTACCGGAACTTCCTTTGCAGCATCCGTCGCAGCCTGGGAAGTTTCTTCGATATCTTCTTGACTTTCGGCTTCAGCAGTAGGTTTCCCTTCAACATTTCCAGTTAGTTCTTCTTCTCCAGCAGCTGCCTTGCTCTCAGTTTCGTGCTTGGCATCAGCTCCACTGGAATCTCCTACCTCAGTAGATTCCTTGCCTTCACTTTCTTGCTTAGTTTCTGGGCCATCCTTGCTATCCTCCACCTCTGCACTCACCACGGCCTCAGTTGCTGGCTTTACCTCAACACCATCACTGGTCCCTTTTACCTCCGGTTGCACATTGGCGTCGTCCTGAAGAGGCTCTGACGCATCTTTGACACCAGTATCATCACTTGTGTCAGGAGCAGCTGGATTAGTTTCGGGTGTGTCCTTTATTTTAGTATCTTTACTACTCGGACTAGCTTCAGCTTCCTTCTCTTGATGTTCTTTATCTTTATCTTTACCACTAGAGCTGGCCGCTGGAGGACTTTCTGGACTCCCTTTAGACTTTTTACGCCGCCCAAACAAGGTGTCTATGACAGACCTCTTCTTTGGAGTGGTTTGTGGACTTCCTTCTTTGGGTTTTCGAGGGCCCTTTGGTGAGCTTAAAATAAAACAACGAAACGCCCCTTCAAATCTCAGTGAAATTTTAACTGAATCCATGTCAACAAACATTCCCTTTGAGATCACAGCATTGTTAGATAATTAAGAGAAGAATACCAGTAGTTTAACGCCAGTGTAATGGATTGACAGTTTCACTCTTTATCAAGAGTTTTCTTCAAGGGAGCTCACTGATGAAAGCTTGTGTAGCCACAGCTTTACATCACAATTTTTATGCTTAAAAACACAGCTCTTTGAAACGAAGTTCCATAGCTTATTGCACACATGGCAGCACACAAAATTAATTACTTAACGCAATAAGTGCCAAGCATACTGCTAGCATTAGTATTGTTGCCAGCATCTTTTATGGTGACAAATTTAATACCATGATAACATGATGCAATGTTCATTGTCGCATGGCTGAGATAAAAATTAATTCTCTATTTGTCACCATACTGTTTTTGCACTGAAGGAGAGTGAATCCATGATGTTATGTCCACAACTGTTTTAACAATAACCGAGTGATTTCTCACACACTGATTGGTGGGGAGTTGTAATGGTCAATGTAAGAGTAGACCATGGGAATGGCATGATGGTGGCACAATTTGTTTTTCTCTTTCTCAGGTGCATGTTTTTCCTAACAAATTCAACAGGAACGGACATTAAAAATTGTCAAATAATATTTAATTGCTGAAAACAAACCGACAACAATTTTCCATGGCCTATACTCTTTATATTGACCATAGACATGAAAACCACTGGCCTGCAGCTCATGGTTCCCATGGTCTACAAATATTAAGTGGTTACACACTGATACATGTAATATTAAGACCTTGCCTTTTCACTCTTATACCTACTTTGATGTAATTGGTACTCGGTGCACAACCCCACCCACAATACTTGTGGAGTAACTGACTACCTCCTCAGGTTTTTCCTTTGTTGGGGTATCATCCGTGACATCTGTGTACCAGATTGTCATTGACCTTGCAGCAACATCTTCCTACTCATAAATAAACAGACATCTATTGTCAATGGAATTTGTCTTCTGCATAAATTATGGGTGTATTTCAGGATGATGCAGATAAACAACACTGGAAATAAAAAGAGTTAAAGCTCTCCACAACAGACACCTTGGGAAAAGAGGAGGTTGCCATTGTGCTATTGTATCCACTGAAACAACAAAGGCCTTTGTTGAGAGGTGCCCATAAGTAGAGGTTTGAATCTACTTCAAAATACAAATAAATAAGTGTAAAATCTGAAATAGTGTAGGATCAGGGCAAAAAGTTGAGACATTGAGACGTTTCTCGAAAGTACCGATAATTAATGGGCCCGGTAAGCTGTTGTTGTTTACATTCAAGATCAAGGTTTCAATAGTTTTGTATCTAAAATGATAAATTAATGAAACAAAATGGAGCATTTTGCTAGCCAGGACCCGCGCTCTTATTCTTTATATTTCGATTTGAATATTTGATTTTGGGCCCGAAAAGGTACTGGGATGTTCGAGAAACAGGCCCCAGGACTGGATTAAGACCCTGAGAACCTCTGACCCCTCAGAAGCTTGGTATACTGAACCCTAGCCATACTGCTCTCTATCTTTGAATTTCCTTAAAGAGAAAACAAAGCAAAAGAGTGATATTGAGCACCTTTCGACACTTAGACCCCTACCAGCAACTAGAATCTTGTTTCTCCTTCTTAAACATAACATTCTAATCAAGCAAAAGGGTCTGCTGGCCAAAAGCATAAACAGACCGAAGCTAAAAGCCAGGGTTCTCTGCAGAGCTCTTGCAACTGGCGAAAATCACTTTCTAGCTGACACAGAGCTGCCCGCTACTCACAGAAAATAATAAATCCATCATATTTCACTCAATTTTTTCCTAACACTTTTGTTTGTTTAATAATGGTGGCCTCCTCATGGCTAAAATTTCTTTAGTTGGTCGCCCAAAATACACTGAAATGCACTTGTCAGTAACCCCCAAATTAATTTTCACAATGAAATGGAGCAGCCTCCCCCCACCCCCTCTCCCATACCTACCCCTACACCAGTTGTGCCACATGAAAGACATGCTTTTCAATCTGATCAGTTGCCGCCTACTTAAGGTTTTTCCTTTTTACTTCAGATTTTCTGGAGAACCCTGTACAATCCACATCTAACTTAATTAGTTACTGATTAAATTTTCTAGTCTTCTCGGATAAGGACGAAAAACCGTAGGTCATGTTTCACAGCACTTTAACCTATCTGGTTCTTGTGGGACGTAAAAGAACCCACACCACTGTTCAAAAAGATTAGCTAGGGATGTAGACCCCGATGGTGAGGCCAACCTTTCCTGGGCTGGGAGGGTTATCTGTTAGGAGAGATCTTATAATTTTAATATAGGGATTAACCTCATGATTCTCCTTCAGGTGTTGTAATGGCTACCTGTAAACAGTATATTTATTGTATGTGACTATGTACGTATATAAGTAGGGCATCATACATGTATCGATCCGTTGGTACATGTACCTTAACAGGTGATGTTGCACTGCCTTCAATATCCCCAACTGTCTTTGATCGCCCCTTTTTGGTCTTGTCATCTTCACTTTTGTCTGAGTCTTTTGCAATCTCTGGACTGTCCATGGTTACCGATCTTCTCTTCTCCACAGCATTATGGTCTTCAGCTAAAAATAATTAAAGTAATAATGACAATGAAATTAATAATGATAATAATAAATATTATGTATTCAAAATATTTCTCCATCTCTGATTAGCTCAAATCCCATGGATAATTCATCATAACCAGCTACTGTCGACCAAATTTGGAAGAATTTTGGGATATGTGAAGAATGACGTCAATTCTACAGCATAATTCCCAGAAAACTGGACAGTTAACTGAGAAGAGCTGGGGGACAAGGTTGAGTTGGTTTGGTCGCTTCACGAGGAAGAACTATTGGCTAAAAACAAAGTAAGGCGGTTGACACTTGCTATTTGGAGAATATTTGCAGAACTGAACAACCCTTTATCTCTTAAACTTGCCGATAAACAGGCAACTGAAGATGATCTTTACATCAATGGAGGTATTAAAGCATGTTTTAGCTTGTTTCTAAACTGGGAATTATTTTGAATGAATAATGAAACAATTAGGCTTATGTATCATCTGAAGAATTCTGGAGATCTCGGAGAGTGTTATCCGCAACACCCTCCTCGATCTCCATAATTCTTCAGATGATACTCAGCCTCATCCAATAATTGTTATTTATAATATAACTCATTGGTGAATATCAGAGGTATATATATACAGTCGACTCTCTTTTAACGGACACCTCTACAGGACTGACACCTCTGTAAAACTTACACTTAGAGTTGGTCCCTGCCTTTCTTAACTCCCTTTATTTGACTCTCTATAAGACGGGCATCTCTTTGAGACAGACACTAGTGCCGGACACTAGTGCCAGTCCCAAAGGTGTCCGTCTCAGAGAGAGTTGACTGTACCAGCAAATAGCTACACACAAATCACTCAAGACAATACAAGAATCAGCTAGCCAGCCAGAAGTTTGCAAATCTAGATATTGTATGTACTGGATATCTAACTGGGAGATGCATGTTCTGTCCATTACTACTTGGGTCAGAGTGTCTGAAAGAGGTAACCATTATAAAAAAAATGCACTCAATTTTGATTTCTCTACACTACAAATACAGGTGTGTAATGAAGAAAATTTGATTAAATTAGGGTAAGAGTGATCAAAGCGTCATTTGTGTGTGCAAAAACAATAAGATATCCCTACAATAAAAAGGCATGTCCAGAGCTTTATAAACAGGCAAGTGGATGGAATAAAAGTTTTCTTCTCTTTTCAAAGGAATAATTACTGGTACATTTAACAAACACAGACACAATAAAAATCTATTTGCACCCAAGAAAATGTTTTCATCTCATCCATATAAATGTGTTGGTGAAATGATAGCAGATACCGTGAACAGACCTTTTCAGCTATTGATATGGACCAGTTAGGGCAAATTTGTCAACTCCACTGGAAAGAGCACCTTTAAATTAATAACACTGCCAAGTTTAAAAGTGATTTGTTAAAAAACTAACGAGGATATAGTGCCTTTAAGTCACAAAATTTTACAGACAATAAATAGTACTAAACATCTGTAAATTTTAGCACCTTTTCAGAGGTATATCTTCCCTTGCTTATGATGTATCACTTTCAAACTTGGAGATTTTACTAGTTTTAAGGTACTATGTCCAGTGGTGCCGAAAGATTTTCCTGACTAGTCCGTGTCAATAGCATGGAAGGGTCTATTAGGTCAACAGCTAAAGCGTATTAGTAAAATCCAACTAGTGGTCTATTATCAATGCTTAGTTCTGATTGGTTGAACTACTACTAGGCTATATGTTATAGCCCAATAGTAGTGAAAAGCGCCGGATTTTGGCGGCAAAAAAGGATTAAAGTCTAGCTTTATCTAGCTAAAGTTGTTTTGTCTTGATATTTTGACCTACTAGTTGGATTTTACTAAAACAATTATTCCTTTCGCCCTCATGGCCTCTGAGTCAATAATTATAGCCTATTCATGTTCGAGGAATAATAAATTGTTAATTAGTAAAATCCAGCTAGTGGTCTCTTATCAATGCTGCATTCTGATTGGTTGAGCTACTAGTTAGGCTATATGTTATAGCCCACTAGTAGAGAAAAGCACCAGCTTTGAAAACCAAAACGATGGCAGCTGAATTGCGTTTTGCTAGCTAAAGTTGTTTTGTCTCGATATTTTTGACCAACTAGTTGGATTTTACAAAAACTAATTTTTACTATTTTACTAGAACTAACTTTTACTATTTTACTAAGGCTATTGACTCAGAGCCCATTCGGGCTCGAGGAATAATTGTTAATTACCTCAACCTGTTACAAAAGTTACATTGTGCAAGTGAGACGTTGATTAAGCAGCATTGATTACTTTTTTTCTGTAATCTGAATTTCCCAAAAACCTTCACTTGCCCTTCAGGCAAGTTAAGAACAGAATTCACAACCCCGACTGCAAAATCCACTAGCCCTGGGCTTTCGGACACGCCTTCCTTTGCACACTGGGTTTGGCTGCATTATCAAAAGGCTAAATACACAAATCTATGGGTAACTTGGTATATTTCTTTTATTACCTATTTTTGCTGCCTGACCACTCTCTTCACTGGGCCCGTTTTGATGTTGATCTCCATTCTGTTGTTTTCCAGCTGTAGTTACAACTGGAACCTCAACTGCTTCTCCTTTAGCTTCAGGTTGAGTACTCTCCACTTCACTGGGCACTGTTACCTCTACTTTGACTTCTTTGACTTCCTCTCCATTCACTTCCATAGCAACAGGACTCTGTTCTAAATCCTTGCTTCCATCTAAAACTTCATCTTGTTTACCATTTTCCTCCATGGTGACAGCTTCTTGATCCTCTTTAGCCTCTTCTATTTCAGCTGAAGTTTCACCCCGTTCAATGCTTGTCTCCATAGCAACAGCTACATGTTCTTGTTGATCGTCCTTAATTTCAGTGGTGGTTTCAGCTTGTTCTCCACTTCCCTCTGCTACCCTGGTAGTAGGACTCCCTTCAGGTTCCTTAACGTCACCAGACGTTTCATCTTGACCTTCTTTTGTCTCCATGGCAACAGTTTCAACACTCACTTCAGACTCTTTATGCTCATCATTTTCCTTCACAGCATCCTCCTCAACACTTTCGCTTTTAACATGTTTGTCATCTGATGTCTCTTGTTGAGTTTCACTGGGTTTTTTTTCTGTGGAAGTATCTCCTAAATTGTCTGGCACTTCACTCTCTTTCTGGTCGTCAACAGGCAAATCAATACCATTCACAGTCACTTCTGCAACTGGAGATTGTTCTTCTTTATTTTCACTGTTGTCATCTTTTACTTCCTCTCTTGTCTCACCCTGAACAGATACAGTTTCTTTTTCTGAGATGCCCCTTATTTCCTCTACAGGTGGGCTATGATTCTCTAAGACGTCTTTTCCAGGGGAATGTAAGTCACTGCCATCACTAACAGAGCTGATAGGCTGTTTGTCTTGTTCAGAGTCTACACCAGACATCTTATCCTTATGTATAAAACTGTATATGTTTTGTATTTTGTATTTACCAAATCATCCTGCATGTAAGGAAAAAAATGTGCATAGTTAATTATATTTACTGGTAATAAAACAACTAGCAATTAAACATGTAGGGCCTAATTTTAAAAAAATGCTTCAAGAGACTTATACCGAAAATAATGGTCATAGCCTTAAGCTCTGTGCAAGCAATTTGTTTTGAAAAACAATTTTTGTTGGAAGAAAAAGAGCATATAAAAAATAGCTAAGGTGGAAATTTTCAGGCTCACCTATCAAAGGTAACAACTACTAAGGCCAACAGAAATTCAGATGGATTTGGATCTGACTTGCAGTCAGTCACACTTTTGCAATTTTCATACCAATATAAAATCCCTCTCTTACCCTGTCACTACAAGTCTCAATTTTTTCTTTACTTCTATTTCTCACAGTAATTTCTGTGTAGAACATTTTACTGGTTAAATTAGAAAGGCCTCACCACTTCAATTCAAAGCAAAATCTTACCATTGTCCAGCACTGAACATTCTGAAAATTTGGCCCTTGCTAATGGCAAAATTTTGAAAATTACATAACACCAGACCCACTGACCCACTACAGTCCCACTATCCTTTGCAGCACTAAAAACTGTGGTTCCACAAAAATCCATGCCATGCCAATGAAGGGTCATTGGAAATTCCAACAGGGAGGGTGAAAGGAAAGTAGGAAGCAAAACTGAAATGTCCAGGTGGTAGGGAGCTTCAAATCGATAAACCTTCCATGATGGGCATATGGATATTTTCTGGAAGCACAGAATGAGAGCAAGACAGGGTTTTCAGTAAGATTTTAAGTAGGTGGCAAAAGCTATGGGGTAGGTAGAGAAGGAAACAACTCGCGCCACAAGTGCAAGTTACTAGGGGGGTCCAGGAGCATCCCTCTGGAAAACTTTGAAATAAGGGCCTCTTAGAGTGCATTTCAACCATTCTGGGGCAAAAATTTGAGTATTTGAACATAACGATGACATTGTTAAATTTTGGCTATTTTGGGGGTAATTTCCAAAGAAAAGTTGGCAGCGAGTTCACGTGAAATAGCCAGCAAATTTTGCCTGCCACAGGCTCTTATTCAGAACCCTGGTAAAATGAAACAGTATATGTTTCAGTAACCAGAGAACTTGATGCTTTGTGCCACTGTCAATGTCGCTATCAACGAATCCAGTTTTAGTCAACAGCCTGGATTTTCACAGGCCAGTTCCTTTACCATGCTGAATCAAGACATTAGCAAGCACTAAAGGCCAGCCCACCTTCTCATATAAACACAACAAACATTTTTATAAGGACATAAGGCATGAGCCAAGCCATCCCTGTAAAGTGACTGGGCTTGCTCACATCATATAAACATACATATGCCTTAGTCATTATTCATTCAAAATATTATGGTACTGACTTTATGAAGAGTTGTGGTTTGTTTGCAACCACCACAGTACAATATTACAGATATGATACACAAATTATCCTTTTAAAATTCAAGCTTTTACACATGTAGTTTCTAGATTCATAAGTGAAAAAGATAAATATATAATTTTTAACACAGAACCAAAAATAAATGGAAGTCAATCTTTTGACAACTCTGTTCTGTCTTTTTCAAGTTGTTGAAACATCAACTGAAGTTTGCATTATTTTGTTTCTGCATAAAAATATTACTATAATTTTTTCACTTACCAGTCAAGAAATTAAAAGCCTCCATGTATGAATAACTTATCTTATATGGAAGGATGTGTGGAACAGTATCAAGATTTCCGTACAGCCCCACACATCTATTATACAAGCATGATTCGGGTCTGTTCATGTTAACTGTTTGTGTGAAATAGCGTGAAATTGCTGCATGCACGGAAATATTACAGATTTTTCTTTAATAACTTACTGTTCTATGCATGCAAATTTGCTCCGAGTTGGTAATAAAAATTTAAAAGACAGTGATATCTTTCTGTGTCAATTAATAACTACACAGCTTATAATAGAAACTGCGCTCACACAGTAGTTTTGTTTATCAGAGCTTTTGAAGAAAGTTATTGATTTGACATGCAGCGACCTTTACAATAAATTGAGTTCATTCGCCATGACCTGTGACCAAATATAGTAAGCTAATAAGCTCAAGTTTGCCTTCAACGACAACATTGTCCCACGCTAAAAGTTGTAACACTTGAGGTTATCAAAGTCCAAAACAATAAAAATTATTGCAATAAAAAGGCTACAATCAACATTATACGAGGGCACTTCAATACTGCGTAACAAAAAAGAGCTCTGAACGAAAGGTAGCGGTGAAATGTAACATATCCTACTGTTATATTGCAATCGTAAACGGTACACTGCACAACTCGATCGATCACGGTTAATTCCTTCGGTCAAAATGGAAAGTGCCTTCGCAATGAGTAATCATTGGCAATTAATTCATCCACGCTAGTAATTGATAAAAAAAAATTTATCAACTCCCGAAGTAAATCGAAACACTAATACAACGCCCGATACAGCGAATTTGATTGCATCACTAACATTCCTGAATTCTGCAGGACAAAACGCTTACACAAGGGCCATGGGATAGACGTGCTTATTGACACACAAACAAGGAAATAATTTAAAAAAAACAGCTGGAGTAACTTCATTAAATTATGTATGCACCAATATATAAAACATTAACCTGTTCAAGTCCTTGTTAAGGCTGCTAACAGTTCTCGAACTAAGACAACGACATTATAATGCTCATTTCGCCGCCACGTTGTCGACGATATTTATGACGAGCTACCATTCAGCACCCCAGAAACAGAAACCAAAACACGTTTGCCAACGCTATATTAACCAAGAGGAAGCTTACAAGCATAGTACTTACTTGTCTTGCGGTAGAAGGCCTCTATTCCCTCTGAAAGAAGAATAAAATTCAAAGCTTCCGTACGCAAGTTCCTCATACACCCAGTCATATCATGATCCTGTCACGATAGAGGCTGAGCCTTGGAGGCTGAGTACTAACGCTACAAAAAACACGCTCGGAATGACGGGTAGGCACGACAACTTCAATAAAAACATCATTAACTAATCTTCAATAAATTCATTAAGTACTATTTCTATATAGCTCATTGTTTGCTATTCTAAAAAAGAAATAAAAGGTACAATTGAACATGTAAATGGCCTGTTTATAATGGAAATAATATATTTTGTGTAATAAACAGTCTAAATAGGCATTGGTTTCACGCAATTATATTTGCGGGTTAATATTTGATATTTGTTATTAAAAAAAAGCACTGATGCCTAAAAACTGATTAAATAGGCTTGTACGTTGTCCCGCGACTTTTTCCCCAAACACATTACGCAGATAGACCTGAAGTGAGTTTTGTCTTGCAATTCGGTCGATTCCAGCATACGATTACCCTTCCCCCACTTCACCTTACCATTCGCCAGTTTTCTCTTCGGACTGTCCTGCGAAGCAACTTGCGAAGCGGGGGCGCTGCCCGGGCGCGGTGAGGGTACTCCCTTATATATGGTTTTTGAGGGAACTACGGGAGTGTATGAATGCATATATCGTTTCAATTCCAAATGCGGAGCAAGAAAGAAAGAGAAATATGAGAATTCGACTGAAAAATTTTTTTGTTTGCGCTCTAATCTAAGTAATGACAACATAATTTCTGCCTAAAGGCCAGGTCTGAAAACGGGTATGGATTTTAGAGACCTAGTCTGAAAACGGCTGCGGAAAATTACATTTTTTGGTCTGAAATCGGGTCAGGATTTGAAGAACCGGGCGGTAAAACACCGGCTCCGCGCTCCCTGACATTTCAGGCATCCAACTGGCGCTGTAAAATTTTTCATTGTCTTCAGGGAGAGATTCGTTCCATAGACCACAGAACGTTAACCTGAGATCAGGCCCAATTTTAGCGGTTCTCATACATTCTCTCTAACGGCTACCGCTAAAACTGGGGCTCTGTTTTCGTTTCTCCTTGCCCGCCGGAATGTTCGAGTTACAAAGCAAAACGAAAATTGAGGCTGATCTCAGGTTAACAGAACGTTGTTGTAGTGATCGGCTGCTTCCTGCCTCTTCTCATACCCCACCCCATCAAAACACCTTTTCCTCTTTCTTTCATATTTACCAACTAATTAAAATAAGAAAGGCGAAAATCATTGAGAAAAAAATTGTTTACTTCAGAATCACTGAAGTGACTATCACCGACGATAGAAACACGTGACTTGTAAATCTTTAGAATCTTATGGACATTCTGAAAGGTCTGGTAAACCCGTGAGCCATTGGAGATTTACACAGTTTCTAAACGTAGGGGCAAATCATGTCGTGATACTAAACTCACTCTCCGTATCCTTAATTCCAAAAACTGAGAGAGCTACAATAGTACTGTAAACCCAAAATTATTAGGAAGAAATAAATAAAAATGCTTAACCCCGATAAAACGTCTTCCCTTGAACGAAAACGTAAACTCAGACGGTAAAACTGGCATATATGGCTTCTTCTTCGGCAAAGATAGACACAGTTCTTGATTAAAGTTTGTGTGTATGGTGTACATGTAAGCATACTAATAAGCTGGTAGAAAACTCTAGTCACTGGTTCTTATATTAGGCAGAGTTCGATTGATATTTGACATTAACATTGAGAGGGAAAAGCTTTTCTGATGCGAGAATGCTCTCCAATAATGTTGAGAGATGTGTGAGATCTTCCAGCATCAGGCTTGTGTTGTGTGAGACATCCTGAAATACAAAAAAACAAAAACAAGTTATTGCCTATGTAATTATAGAATAATAATGCTAATCACAAGGAATATTTAAAAAAATAGAAATTTTCGACTGCCTCGCTCAGTCTTCCACAGTGACTGAGTTGGCTCAGCATTGTCACGTGACCTCAATTCACTTTAGACAAGTGGTTGAAAAATGCTGAGAGAGGTGTTTCAAATTTCAGAAGTTTACAAACATTAAGGTCTTTGAAAAACTAGGATGCCTATAAAAGACTAATATTTGGTCAAGCTCATCAGTCCAAATTTTTGCACTTTTCATCATTGCGTGAATCATAAAAAGAATGAAGAGAGCTTGCAGGGACATTATTATTAATGAGGCTCTGTGCTCCGTGGGCAAAAAAGTCTGTTATATTTTACTTCCATCAGCAAAACTTGGGTTGTTACTTGAGAAAAATTTATTTGTCCACCTCATCAAGGGAAAACCTGATAAAATGAGTGATCTACTGACCACTATCAGATGATGCATGGTATCATGGACTCAGGCACATGACAAAACAAGGCTGTAGTTAAGTTTTTTTTGGAAGATGTCCACTGACTAGGCTCGATTTCTGCCGTGTCCCAGGTCCGGTCTTTGATCCCCCCCGAGGGATGAGTGCGGGCTCATTTTCCCGAACAGTGGCTGGTAATTGAGCCTATCCACTGACCAACTGATAATGTTGTTAGCACTTCACAGTTCCTTTACTGTTTATAATTTGAAAGTTTATTACTTCCAGTGAAAGGTTGGTATTTAACAAAAGCTCTTCTTTAATGCCCGGCTAAATTTATAAATTTAAGAGATAAGAACCGTAAACCTTCGCAAACTCTGTCTCTGAAAGGCATTATTTTTACCTGAGCTGCTGCTTGTGCTCTGCTAAGATAAAATGTGGAGCTTTCCAGTCTGGTCCCTGCTGACTTGTAACAATGGGTTAATCCCTCAACAAGGTCACTTCGCAATTCTAGATTTCTTTCTCCTATAAAAAGGACACCATTTTATACACCATTGTATGCACTGTATGTGAATCAATACTGTGACCAAAGAGAAATTTCCTTCATAGTCTCATTGAGAAGACATTAATCCCTTCACTCTAAAACAGAAGGATAGAGACTAATCAGATTGCTCCAACTTTTGAGTCTGTGGACGAAATCGTATGGTATGACCATTCAAATGAAACCTCTTCAGCAGTACTTTCACATGGTACTTTTGATGTTATCATTCAAATGAAACCTATTTGGCACAACTTTTGCATAGTACTGTTTATATTTTTTGAAGATTTTTTCACAAAAAATTGAATTTTTACCATTTTTTTTACATATGTGTACCCCACTATTAATAGTGAAAGGTTATTAAAGCCAGGGTCTCAAAAAGGTACCTACTTAGCTTTCGATGAAATGGTCTTGTGATTTGCAGTTAAACAGTGTCAACATGTGAAGGAAAAAAAACATATTTTCATTTAGTGCAAGACATTACACAAATACTACAATAATAATTAGGCGCTTCAGGCCTCGCACTTCTATTAGGAAAAATAATTAATATTTTTCCTTAAGAAGTGCGAGGCCTGAAGCACCTAGCAAATGCAAGGTTAATGATTAATTTTGTTGAAACTTGTGCCATGCATGGAACACTTTATAGCATGTTTCAATGATATTTGGTTTGGCCATATAAAAATTAATTAATTTCTGAAGGGTTGAATACAAGGCTGTTTAATAAAAATATTGTTAACCCAAAGAGCAAGTGTTCTTTAATAAGTCTGCTGTAGACAAATCCTATAGTTGCAGCACCATGGACAATTATTTTGCTTCAATTAAATGTGATTTCCTGGAAATAGAGTGTCATTTTCTAATAGTTTTTTGTGCTCTTCTAGAAGGCCATTTAATGGGTACTTACGAATCAAATTTGTAAACTATCTTCTGCCTCCTTGTCTTAACTTCTGCACCTGTCTCTAACTCAAACTCTTGCACTTCAGTGTCAAATTCTTGCTCGTCTTTAAAATGTGTTTTTTCAGTTTCTGCTTCGTCTTCATTTGCATTCCTTTGTTTACTGTCAAAATCATCATCATCTTCTTCATCAGTTTCAGATGCTTCTCCACTGACCATAGTGCTGCTTATCATAGTGTTACGTATGAATGTTGGGCTAACGCCTTGATCTGCTTCACCATCAGAAGTTGTGTCTTTACTTTGCATTTCCTTTCTTTTTCACACAGACAACTATACATGTACACAAAAAAATAACAAAGACAATCTAATTTAATAAGTGTAACTATATGTCACTTCTCTTAGGCTAGGTTCAGAACTGCTGCCCAAGCATTAGTGCCTGAGTACCAGTGCAAAGTAACACTGTGGCAAAAAGTCTACGCATGCACCAGGTTGAGCATTTTCGATCACTTTTTCAGTCAGACTTTCCAGTCAGATCAAAGTCTCCCACACGCGCTTAGCTTCTGGCAGCTTGTGGTTCAGTCGTTCCGCTTCATGCTGCTCATGAAATTGCTTTTATGGAAAACCAGGCACAGATCACTGAAACAATTAGTCAATTAGATTCAAGAAAAGGTGAAGGTTACTCGTGTAATTTTGGCTAATTTGAACATCAGGTAAGTTGATTTTCTTGCACGAAAACAAAAAAAAAAAAAGAAAAAAAGGCGAGGTTGCCAATCCCACCCATCTTTGTTTTTTTCCTTGTTTTCTTGAATGGACTAAACTTTTATTCCCTGGTTCTAGTGTTTATGATAATAATGATGTCCTTATTTTGGTTATTTCTTTAATGAGTATTGCTATTCTTTTCTCAGTTATCGCCTCCTCCCAAATTAACTATGTGAAACCAGTAGCATGCAAGAAAGCCAGTAAAAACAATTTCGCCTTGTCGAGTGCTAGTGACCTACAAACTTCAAACATCATTTTCAGCATTGGTGAAACCAGAAAACCCTTTGGTGCAGAAGTCTAAAATTAGAAAAATGAATGAATTTTCAAAAGAAACAGTTTTTTTCTTTACCTTCTGTTCTACATGTAGTTTTTTCCTTTTTGTTTTTAAACCTCGCACAACAGGAATTTTATTTTTCTCAGTTGGTTTATATACACAACCGAAAATACGAAAGTGACCGGATGTTGAATTTTTTGGATCATGCTTTGCGTAGTGCGTTTTGTCGTTGTGCAAAGTAGTGTTGTGCTCAGTCCCAGTCTCCCTCACTCCAGGATCTTTATGAGGTAACTGAGGACCATTTAAAGTACTTTTATAAAAGGTAAATCTTTGCTGACATCCTTGTTTATATTTGTGCTCATTAGCATGTACAAGTTAATCTGTGGAAGGCATCACCATACATGTATAAAAATAATGCACAAAACTTTTATTTACTGTAAGTTTAAACGGGAACGAGCTGGTTAACTAGAGCAATTTGTACATTTTTTGGTTTCTTGCAAGCAATATCTTAAGGAAATGCATTTGGGGTGATATAGCTTATGGGAGGTTTGACTGTAGAAGCAAGAATAATTAATATTATTTTAGTGTTCATAAGTCCCGGCATATCTAATCGAACAAAATTTTGATTGATTTGATTGATTTCAGCAAATAAAATCAAACATGGAATTCTTAGTCAGTTTAATGACCCAACAAGTTAATTTTATACATAATCAAACTGAACCATTTGATTTTGTTAGATAATTGAACAAAATTTGTTCAATTATCTAAGCATGCGACTGACCGTTCACAATAATTGTTGACTAAACCAAAATCAAAGACTCTAACTACAGTAGTCTCAGAAAGACTGATACATGTAGTGAACACAAAGAGATCAATTTCAAGAAGTTTTTATAACAGAGCGGCAAATTATTCTATTCTTTATTTTATTTATTTTGGTGATAAATGAATATCAAACGACAACTGCAACCTTTCCACTATACTGAAATCACAACAAACACATTATTGTTTTTTCATCGATTTTGATTCATTTGCAAGCAAATCAAACCAAACTGTAGTTCACACTTACATTTTCAAGTAATCATTACTGCTATCGATTACATATCAGTCATACCATCTGCAAGTAAAATGCTTTCAATTTCAGACCCAGCAGAGTAAGCACGCAGCATGTGTGTCAGGTTGCGTCAGCTTCGCCGTTCCCAGATTGGGTGGATACGAGATTAAGCTTTAGAAAGTCATGCATGGGTCATGAAAGCGATTTTTCCATGCAAAACCAGTTGAGGCAATTTACTCTCAAACTGTTAAATCAAAAGTTCAGAAATTATTAAATGCTTGATTAACGAAAGTTTGATAAATGTGGCCAAATTTTTTTGTGAGTTGGATTTTGTTTGATCATTTATTTTTTCACTTTCCATTAAATTTGATTCAGTTCGATTACTGCATGTTCGATTACACATGCCGGGATAAGAGGACCAAACTGGAGTTAAACTGTTGTTGAAGTTGTAACAGAGTCACATTATTGGTTCTTCAGTCTCATGTAAAGCTACTTGTAAGTGATTTGATGTCACTCATCCCAGTCTAATTTCAAACTACTACAATCGTACAATCAGGACCTAAGATACTAAGTATTGAGAACATTAAGCTTTAATCATCCGTGGACATGGAGACAGAAGTGAGAGAGACATTCAACCATGCATAATAACCCTTGCTAGGCGATTAATGTGAGAATAATACGCGTTAAGTATTATTACGTGGCAAGGAGCATACGGTTTCACATAAACTGTAGATAAAGAAACCAAATAAAGAGCTAAAAATACAGATGACGAGGAATATAATAAGATAATTTATGATCCAAGAATGAAGATGGTGCAAGGAGTACATGTCTAGGTCTGGGTCATGTTTGTTAAAACCGTTCCAAGAATGTTGAATAAGTATTTGTCATCTTTAGCGACTTTTGTTCTTTACAGGCATTAAAAACACCCCACGATTCAATTGCTGAGACAATCACCCAGTCTTTGAAAATAGCAATTAAAAATATCAGTGAACTCACCAAATCATTCTCTTTTCTCATGACGAGTGAAGGTACATTAAACAGACACGTTCTTCAGGCGTACATATAATAACTTCTGTTGTATGGAACGTCCGCTGGTTGAGGTAACTCAGGGCGCAAAGAATATGGCGGACGGCATTTGGTAGTGTTTGGGAGTATTTGCTGATCACAGCCAAATTAATTTTGCTTCTTGTATGCGGGGTTGTATGCGGCGCGGATCGAGTTCCATTTTAATAGCATGCCACCGATAGAACTTCCAAGGTTAACAGGTTCTTTACGAGCTTTCTCAGGGGTATCGTATCCGCATTCACGTCCACCAGAAAATGTGAATGACCTACTGAAGAGGAAGCGCCAACTCCGAGCAAGAAAGCAGCTTGCGAAAACTTTGTCGTGGGTGGAATTAAAAGGTTTGATATTAGAATCGGCAAGCTCTGACAAAGTTGCTGCCCAGGAGGTATGTATATCACTTTTAACAGACAAGAAAAAGGTTTTTCTTTTAAGCTTGTTTAGTTAGCTACAGAAATGGTGTATTCATGGGACGTTCTATTTTTATCCGCATTCCCGCATCCCCCTGATAAGGATGACTGGAATCCGAACCTTCAAATTTTTGTCGGCGCCCTTTGAAAAATGAAATCCAAAGGGTTTGTTCTTTGTCGGCACTTTTGGAAAATTTGTCCGAACTTGTCGGCCTATTTGATGAAAAAATCCGAACCCCCTATTCTAAAACCCATCATCCTTAGTTGGGGGTGGGAAGGGGAGGGGGAGGGGGAGGGGGAGGGGGGTTGGGAATAGAAATGGAACTAACACATGAACATGCAAGCCAAAAAGAACACCAAGAACTGGTCAACTATGAATTTACCTATTAATTTAGATTTAAAGTTAGATTTAGATTGAAATTTTGGATCGGAATGGTCCTCGGCTGAACTCCAGTAAGATCACACCCCTCCCCCCCTCCCACCCCATCCCGTACTTCATGAAAAAAGAGAACCCCCCAATGCAAAGCCCAAGAGGCGTGGGGGGGGGGTGGAAGGGGGAGGGGGGGGGGGAGGGGGAGGGGGGTTCGGATTAAAAATGGAACTTCCCCAAATACATGAAAGCCCCAAAGATCACCAAGAGCTGGTCATCTATGAATTTACCAATTAATTTAGATTTAAGGTTAAATTTAGATAGATATTGTTGGTGTTGTAGAAAATTTAGAAGGAATAGTGTTGTCATTCCATTTGTCGTCCATTCCATTCTGATGGTCAGCCAGTAGCTCTAGTTTTTAGGAGAAGTACAACACAGCCCACCACAGATCAAATAAAGGGTAATATTGGCCAGTATAGGGGAGTAAAAAGCAGTAAAGTTATAGTACAAGACAGTGAACACATTATAGTGACAGTATTGTGAGTGACAGTAAAGAACTCTACTGTGCAGAACAGTTGCAGTGAAGAACAGTACAAGATTATATGGTTCAGACTGTACTGGAAAGTACACATCAGTAAGTACAGTGTAGATAGTACTAATTGTATTTCACAATGGTAGACCCTTCTAGTCAAGCTGATATCAATGAGGACCCTTGGTATTTCAATGTTTAAGAAAGTGCATGCAAAATGTTAAAAGTGTAAAAAAGCAAAAGGAAATTGTAATAATTATGACTAACTAAATTAACTAACTGCTGATTTTTTTTTTAACTAATGAAAGTGCCGCTGGCTTCTTTATAACTGAAAGTCTATAGGGACTTGTTCTACGTGTAAAAGTACTGGACAGTAGATAGGGTACACAGAACAGCACAGGACTGAACAGTGCAGGACAGTTAAGTTGCACATTACATATACCAGCTTTACAATGCAGTGTGTTTTAATTGCAGAAGATGCTCTGTTACAATGTAGTAACAGTACTGTACTATTATGACCATTGCTTCATGAAATGAAACATACTGGAAGATAATATAATATTATTACAGTGTACATGTAGGTAAAAATAATAGCGGTGCAAAATTCTTCTTTTTTTAGGTTAGGACACTATTGCAAGAGCTTGTTCAAACATCTGCAGAAATTGGTATGTAATAATTGATAATTCAGTTTGCTTGGTTCCAATGGCTCTTAAATGTTTCTAGAATGATAAGTTTTTTTGGGTTAATTGCCTAATGTCACTTTGATGAATGAGTGGTATTTCCTGATGTGATCAAAGTTTTAAGATTTTTAATAGCAACATACATGTACAGTTCCTGAAAATCAAACATGA